AATCCACCTCTCTGCATACTGAATGGATCTTCTTGCCAATCAGAAAAAACAGAGATCCTTGGGATTACTCTTCTTAGGCTCATGAGAGGCTAAACTGTCCCTCTAGCACACTTAAAACATACTAAAAAGTTCCTTTTCCCTTATGGAGTCATAAATAGTGTTTGGGCTAAACTTGATCCTAATATTACAGTAGACGAAAGGAAGAATGGCAGCATTTCCACAATTTCTGAACGTTTCTCTTCCTATTATAGTGAAAAAAATAAAGTGTAACTGAATTGTACAAAATAGATAACATGTTAATTTGTAAACTGAATTCTATTTCACATAACAGGAATATTTGTTATCTGGAAAAGCATCCTTGTGTAAAACAATGTATCATATCTGATTTTACCTTTTTATTTTTTTTAATACTGGTTATTTTTGCCTTTAAACTGAGGTCTGTATTAACATTCTATTTCATTCTTTTCCATGTTTCCCTTGGGATAAATAGACTCTAATATGAGTAGCTACTATGTAAAGAACATTTTATTCTGGAGTAATATTTCATGGTTTACACAGTATTGTGTGTGTGTGTGTGTGTGTGTGTGTGTCTGTGTGTGTATCAGTGTGTTTATCCCATTTTACAAATGAAAAACTGAGGCTTGGAGAGGCTATGCAATGTTCAACATAACCAGTGGTAATAAAATTAGAGCATAAGGGCAGATCTTTTACCATCTAGTGTCCTTTCACGGCATGCCCAATGTCCTGTTTGAAAACTGAGTTTCTCTCCTTCTCCAGCAGGTGGTTATATCTTCTGGTGCAGCCAGGCAGGCAGGTTGAAAAGTTTTGGAGTTCTAAATGCATTTTTGCTGTGGCAGAGACATGTGCCTCTAGCAGTGTGGTTGAGGAAATGCCATTTTAACTCTCTGACCTACATTTCTGAAAAACATTTTCTTCTTGCAGGAAGACATTTGGGCCATTGCATAGTGAACATCTGCAAAGTGCAGTAAGAAAATCATTAGCTTGAAAGGAACGTGATTACAGCAGTCACATCCGGAAACAGAAGGTGGGGTGTTAATTATTAACAAGAGATTGCCTAAGAGTTACAATTCGCCACTTTTAAGGAGCTGTTGGGAATATTAGGATGAAATGAACAGAGTCCACTGAAACATAAATAGGCATTGCTCCTGGTCTGAGCATTCACAACATCAGCGGGAAAGAAAAACTTGGGATTCTCATTCAGCTGTGATCCTTATGTTTATTAAAATTCTGAAACCTATCAGGTGGCAGATTCAGGCTTGGCAAGGCACCAGCATCTACAGTTCCGGAAAGTCAACCAAACTTTGCTGAATACTCATGATGGCTCAAAGCCATATCCATGGAGAACAGGGAGGAGTGCACTACAGATGCCACCCCTAGGGCCAAAGGACCAACACTCAAATTACCCTGAGGCACCCCAGAATGAACCACTCCTAAGCAGTTTCAGGAAAAGAAGGAATAGCATCTGCTGAGCTGATTGGGGACAAAAATAACATTCCACAGCAACTTCTACACACTAAGCAGTGCCGAGTGCTCTCTGGAGCCTAGCAACTCTTCAAGTTTGGTTATTATCCCCATTTTGCAGCTCAGCAAACTGAGGCTTGGTGCACTGACTTACCCAAAGTCAATAGGTAGGTAGCAGAGCCAAGCCGATCCTCCTCAGGCTTTATTCTATCTCCAAAGAAAAGGGTATGTGGGACCAGCCCAGGGAATGCTGAATAGAAGCAAGGAACTGGAGATCAAAGTATTCCTTCCAATCAGTAGGAATTAGGGAAGAGACGGGAAACTACAGGCTGGTGTCTACTATAAAAAAATCTTAAATGTCTGGCTTGGGAGTCATACTTCAATTGGTCAATAAGAGGCGTCTTTGCATATTAAATCCTCTCTCTTCAGTAAATTGGGATGTGTTGGGTTTAATGAGAATATAAGATTTTCCTAAGAATATTGGAGGTGTGCTTTTTTTTGGCTTTTTTGGGTTTTTTTTAATACTGGGGATTGAACGCGGGACCTTGTGCTTGTGAGGCAGGCGGCAGAACCACTGAGCTAAATCCCCAGCCCTTTTCTAATAATATTTAAATGTAAATACAGGAACAAAACATTCTACTGTGCTCAGATTAAAATTATGTAATTTCAGTAATATACAGTGTTAACCATTAGCTATTTGGCTTGCCATTAACAAGTTACATCAACAGGTTAAAACAAAATGTCACAAAAGGACAAAAGCAAATGTATATACTAAGAATGATCGCTGCTATCTAGGCCTTCCAAAGTACATCACTCACTCTGATGGGTATTTTTGTGGTTTGTTTTTAAAAGGGCATTTTCTGCATGTGTTGTATGATTCTAAAAGCTATGCATGTCTATTAAAGAAAACTTGGGAAATGCAGAATATACATATATGGTGTAAAACGTTAAAATGTTTCCCCCGATTAATTACCCTGGTGACTAGAACTCCGCAGGCTGCTGTTCACACATCACCAGAGCTGGTCACATTGTTAGCTTTTTGGCCCTTGTCTCTGTTTTTTCCATCCCTTTCTGCCCTCTCAAGATGCAGCTTGTAAGACCCATCTCTCCCCCGAAGCAAGGACCACATTTACACATAGTTCTACCCTGAACACTTAAATGGTAGCAGCTGGACATTCCTTTTCCTTTTATTCAACTGTTCTATATCTAATGCCAAAGCATTGCTTTTAGGTTAGTATCCAAATTAACAGGCACCTTTTGAAGAAAGGAACATTTTAAATACCTAAATATAAAAGGGAACTGTGGATCAGTTATGGGGAATGAAATAATGACCCTCATTTATTAAAAAAAAAGTGCTCTTCTCAAAAAAGAATAATAGTTTCAGATGACTCTTTTTTTTCTTCCCTGATCAACATTTATTTACTGAAATACCCAGAGATATACTAGATAACTTCAATCTAACAAAAAATGGCATATAGGTTAAAAAAATTCCGATAAGACATGGTTGAGTCACATAAGACTGCTAGAATCTTCTGGAAATTCAGAGATTCAAGCTTTTAGTTGACTGAGAGGATCTGATGATATTTGGCTTAGGCCTTGGAGAATAAATAAGACATGCACATGAAATGTGTAAGTGTGTGTGTGTGTTTACATGAATTGTGTGAGTCAGGGAGGGAAGAGATCAGAGCAGATAGAGAGCAGAGTGGGCAAAGGTGATAGAATACAAAAGACCAAGACGTGTTTAGAGAAAAGAGAAACACAAGAAAAATGTGGGAAAACAAGTGCAAGCCTGCGGTGAGACCCTAGAACAGCACATATGCTCTACAGTTTGGAACCGTTTAGACACTCAGTATTTCTTAATCACATGCTATGTGGCAGGACTTGTGACAGAAAGGGTGAGATACAGAAAGAAAAACAAGGCCTGGTCCCTTGCTTTTGCCAATTCTATGATAACATAACTTTTTGGAAATATAATTTAAACTCCAGGAGAACTTATCAGGAACAAAACAAAACTGACAAAAATAACAAAAATTACTGATATGTGGGCTGGGGATTTAGCCCAGTGGCACCGTGCCTGCTTTGTAACCACAAGGTCTTGAGTTTGATCCCTGGTACCGGGGAAAAAAATTAATGATATGGAAACTTTTTTTGGTTACTTATTGCTGTGTGACAAACTATCCCCGAAACTCATGCCTTGAAACAACTGTCTGCTTACTAGTTCACAGTTCTGCAGTAGGGATGGGTGTTATAGAAACAGCTGTCTCCTTTTCACCTGGTGTCAGCCACAGGGGTCTGTCTGGATCGGCCACACTGTGTCATGTTCTTGGCCCCAGACTATGCTGTGGCTTAGGTTCCTCCTTTTCCACTCAGGACTCAGCCATTTCCCACTGTTCCTGGTCATTTGATCTTGTATGCAGTGGCTGTCTTCCACCAGTGTGTAAAACAGGAAACTGCCCAAATTTTGAGAAATGGCACAGTGTCCCTTCTATCACATTCTAATGGGTAGAGCAGGTCACAAAACAAACCCAGATCTGAGGGCAGAGGATTGCACAAGGGTGTGAATATCAAGGGGCATGGTTCTTTAGGAGGAAAAAGAAGAGGGTTAGAATCTTACAGTCATATTATCCTGCAGTGTCTTCCACAGGTGAATTTAAGGGACATTAAGGGCATAGCTTTTTTTCTACTTCAGAGCACAAAACCTCAGTTGACTCACTCTTCCCAAGTTTTCAAGTGCCAGTAAAACAGTCACTTCTCATGCACCTCACTGCTGCGTTAGATTCTAAGCCAACCTCTCAACATCCAGGGAAGGATAGTTCATCCCACCTGCTCCTGACGCTGTGTCACTCCGCAGACCTCCTATTGTCACTTCTGCTTCCAAATAGGAAGAAACCCTCTTCAAGCCTAGCACTTGCTGCCCCCTTTACCATCTCCATAGCCTGGCTTCCCACAGGATGTTCCTAAACACCCTCTCTCCTAGCAGTGCAGTCCCTCGGAGCTAGGGCAGAAAACAGTTCCTGATTCTCAGATGCCATTTCACAGCCCTCTACAGTTTTTAGGATTGTGCTTTCCATCCTTGGTGATCTGTCTTTCCATTTCCAAAACTGAACACAATGCTCCATACACAGCTGAGCACTATGTGCCGTGGTGACCTCAGAATTGCTACAGGGAGAGCAATCTAGTTGGTAGGAAAATATTTTGCTTTTTGAGACAGGGTCTCACTGTGTTACCCAGGCTGACCTTGAAGTCCTAGGCTCAAATAATCCTCCTATCTCAGCTCCCAAATAGTTGGTATTACAGGCCAACCCAAAACTTTTCATAAGGGTGGTGTGACCCCTGAGATAACTAGGAGTGGCCAACAAAAATCAACATATAGTCCAGAAGGGCTGAATTAAAAATACATATAGCTCACTTAATAAAAAAGTATGTTGGTATGTACATAAAAGAGCAAAAGTTAACTGGATTTAATAAAAAAAGCTAAAGCTTGCTTGTTTGTTCTGTTTTTCACATTTCTAACCATCCATCAATGGTTCCATGAAGAGTAATTGTGCACGGGCCCCAGAAATCAGACGTACGGATTCAAATTCTCTTTCCACCATTTATTTTGAGCAAATTATTTAATTTTTCCATGCCTTAGTTCTTTCATCTGTAAAATGAGAACAATAAAAGATTCTACCTCATAAGGTTGGTATAGTATTAAATTCTTAGATAATGCCTAATACATTGTAAATGTTTAATAAATGTTACTTAGTATTTTATTCCGTAAGTTATCATCAGCCTGAGAATTTTCAACACATGCTTCATTGCTATCTTTTCTCTGTTAGCACTTTTCATTTTATTTATTTATTTATTTATTTATTTATTTGGTACCGGGGATCAAACTCGCGTCCTTGTGCTTTCGAGGCAGGCTGCAGCACCACGGGGCTAAATCCCCCGCCCATGTTAGTTCTTTTTAAAGGTGATCTTAAAGGCAATAAGTTTCTAAGATGGCGGAGAAATTGAAGATACCCCTGCAATCAACTTTCTTGGTATCTTGGCCAACTTTAAGCCCTGGTACGAAGAGGTATTAAGAGCAACAGGCAAAATATCAGTAGCAAATACATTTTTAAGAAAACAGCTTAAGGTAACAGCTATCCTCCTAATTATAGAAGTTAAATATTAGAAACATAAGGTAATTGAGAGAGATGAATTTTAGAAGGAAATAGCTGAGAAATAAGCATCAAACCCATATATACTTTCGATGATTTTAAGAAAAATGTACCTTCTCATCAAGTCTCTGTGGGGAGAAAATGAGATACGTGAAAGCAACTCAGAATCTCATGTTGGGCATTGTGTATAATCACATGGCACTGTTTTTGCTCTCAGTTTCTCTCACGACATCCTCTTTTCTATTACAGTCACAAGAGGCAAGCCAGGGAGCCGTTCAATGAGACAAAATAGAGGGCACATGATGTTCCCAGCAGGACACTCAAGTGGGACCATGTTCTTACCCTCCATGCTTACAGAATTTTATTTGCATAGAAGAACTGCAGGAGCTCTGGATGATAGTGACTCTGAAAGACATTGGCAAGGGTACATGTGAGGGAGGGCTCACATGTCTTCTTGACTACATCACTAGTAGAAGGCTGTCAACATGGAGCATGAGGATAATCAACGGGGAGAGAGAGAGAAGCAGCATCCCCGGAACTGGAACTGCCAGTACACTTTGTACATGATCTCCCAGGTGAGTCGCCATTTGCTTTGCATTATGGGTCAGTTAAAAGGGAAATAATTGGCCTGAGACATTTTGGGGATGGGGGTGACTCCCTGCTTTGCCTGACCACCTCCCATGTTAAGTACCGGGAGGGTAAGGACCTGAAGAGAATTCTTTCCTGCCCTGGCTCACTCACCAGCTGCCGGCAGAGTTTTGGGTTCCTTTGCTCTTCTTCATTCTGGAAGCTGTACTCCTTCCTCAGTGTCAGGTATGGAGAGCAGGCTCGAAAAGTTGTTTTGCAAGCCTGAGAAAAATAATAATACCACATTATGTTGAAAATATTAGAGAGTTCTAGAATCCCAAGCAGGGATACCCCACAGAAGTACACCCAAACTATGGTCAGGGCTACTGAATGAGTTAAAGCAGCTTCCGGGATGTTTGCAAATTTGATCCATAAATAAATGTTAACAAAATGGCAGATCAGTTATCTAGGAGCTGGTGGGGTATAGAGCATCACATTTTCCGCAGCCCCTTATCACTGCAGTACTGAATTCCTAAACTCAACCTTATTCCCTCCCTCCTTCTCTCTCTTTCTCCATCAGAAGATAAGGGACTTCACAGAACTCTTTGCTCCTATGGGTTTTGAAACATTTGTTCAGTCCCATTACAAAGCAGGCCTGAAGTTGATCCAACCCTGTTAGGACACATTTTCTCCAAGAATAATAATTTTTTTAAAAATCCCATAGGGAGTTGAGAACTGGTGAAAAGACACAGTGAAAAGAGCTAACTGGGGGTGAATAAATACACTCATTCAGCAGGTGGCTGTCCCCACTAAACCCACTCCCTCCTCCCCATCCTCGTAAACCTGAGTTTATCCAGACTTCTCAAGTGCTGGATTGGGCAGGTGGGTAAGAGGCAAATGGAAAAGAACATCCTTACTCAAGCGGGACGTACACACGGGAGAACTCTTTTCTAACTGGCCCTGACCACACTGGCAAGAACCTAAGGTTTTGACACCTCAACTCCACGAAGCTGCCTCACATCCCCCATGACCAACAGGGATTCCACACTGTTGGGCGGAGAATCACAATCTTACCTTGGCAACCTGGGGATTTCTGTCCTGTAAATGTCTTAGGAGGCAATCTTGGGTCTGCTTCACCTGATTGGTGAAAAACTTCTTCCATTTCCACCCAGCAAAGGCAGCCAGTTGCCCAAACAAAACTAAGGCTGAGTATCTCACACTGTCATTCTCCTGTGGGTTTCCATCAACAAGACAACAGTGCCAGGTCATGACCAAAAGTCAACAGCATCAGGCACAGCACAGTCATTGCTCTTGGATGCACATGACAGGATAGCATCAGATCCAGAGCCCTGTTCCCTCTTCTTCCATAAATAGACACACACCATCCTACAGGTGTTCAGCACCATGGTTTCGCTATCAGTCTATCTAAGCTCTTTCCATATCAGCATTTAAAGGAGTTTTCTTTTTTTTTTTTTCCTCCCCTTTCTCTTTCTTTTCCTTTTCTGTATTATCATTCACTGGACCAGTCTCCCATTTATTACTTCAGCATTTTTTGCCAGGTCACCTTTCTGCTGTTGCTCTCAATTTCTCACACTTGTCGTGGAAATAAGGATCCTGTTTCTTCCCCCAACACCCTCCCAACTCTCCTGGTTTTTAGTCTGATGGGTTAGTTCATGCCTGGAAGATAGGCTCAGCTCTTCTTTTGCCTCCCACGCAAGCTGATTGCTCCACATCTTTCTCTTTCCTGACGAGGCGTCCATGGCCCAGAGGATTTCAGCAATGAGCCTGGAGTCACCCATCAGGCTACAGACCTAGGGAGGGTGGAACTCGGCCTCTTGACTCTGAGGGCACAGGTTTTTATACCAGTTTTCAGTGGCCCAAATGAGCCAAAGGGAAGAGGGCAGGGCTGGGTCTTCTCAAGGACAAGAAGCATCCTGAACACAGAGGCTAAGCAAGATGGAGGACCACTGATCATTCTGTGACATCTTTAGAAATATTTTTAGCGTGTGTCGCACCTATAGAAATTGCCTGGGGGTTGCTATTTTGTTCACTGAAGTATCAGTGTGTTTATGTGTGTGCTTAATTCAACTCAGCTAACACTTACAGTGAACTGACCTGGTCTCCAGCCCTCCCTGAATGCTGAGATGTGCATGAACGCTACGACTGGTGTCAGAGCCAGACGGTCATCCAACAGGGGCACATGTATGGGTGAACATGGAGTAAGGCAGACAGTGAAGAGTGCTATCTCAGAAGGAGATAAAAACCATCAGCAAACAACTCTGCATGAGACTCTCCCTCCTCTACATGGCCAAGGCTTCCATGGCCAGAAATGATAGTAGGCTAGCAGTTTTATTTATGGGCAAATGGCAAACCAGTCCTGAAATTCAGAAGGGACACCTAGAGAGATTTAAGGACCTGCACCCAAAACATTGCTGACATTCCAAGGTGGGTGAGATAGACGCCTTCCTCTCCACTCTTCACAGAGTTTATATTCATTCAAGAGCAAAAAAATCTGTCTCTCTTTGAAGGAAGGAGAAACAAACATGCTGGTGGCTCCTGTAAAAGCCCCACGTTTCACAGTTTCAAGGCTTATTCTTTTGTGGAGCTGGCACAGCTACCTGACACTGTGTGGCTCCATGGGGACTCAGAGTGTGGGGAGCTTGTGCAAGTTTCTTGGGCAGAAAATGAAAGGTCTGCTCCCTGTCCATCTGGCCTTAATCTTTCAGAGAATAACTGGCAGGCTAAATTGATAGCTTGCAAGCCAGGTATCTCAGATGCCTCACAATTTCAGGTTAAATGCTGCACCAGTGCTCTCCTTGCCCGGTCCATCTTGTCCCTGATAGTTGACAATGCAGGCAATATAGCCAGAAGGCCTGCTTTCATGTCCACTTACTGCCCTTCAAACCTTGGGCACGGTCCAAGCTTTCTGTGTTTGGTTGCCTCAGCTATAAAGTGAAGGTAATTACAGTGCCTGCCTCACAGATTACTGTGAAGGCGACATGAGCTGAACTAATCCATGTAAATTATCTCGCACTGTGCATGGCCCACAGGAAGGGCTCACTGAATGCTATTGTTTTGTTGTTGTTATTGGTTTTGGTACTGGAGATCGAACTCAGGACCTCACACTGGCCAGGCAGGCGCTGTGCTGCTGAGCTAAATCTCAGGCCCATACATACATCAGTTAAGTGCGTGACTGGTACAAATCTCGTTCCATGAGCGACATAGTAACTAAGCAGTGCTCTCATTTTAAATCCCACTTCTATTTCAATACCCCCAAATTTTTATGAATCATCTCACTTACATCATCCAAAAAAGTCCTGGTCTGAAGTGTGATGTCTATGAAGAAGGAGCCCAGACCTTTCCGCTGGAGCCTGCCCAGGATGATGGTCAGAGCCTTCATACTCTCATGGATGACTTCAGAACTCACAGGGTCGTACAATCCGTGCACCAGCAGGTCTAGCGTGATTTTCTTATACTTTTTCACCTGTTATCAAGGTTTGCAAAGCATTAATCACCCGGGAATCATTCTCTATGAGTTGAAAAGCATTGCCTTCCATCTTCCAGTAACCTAGGTCTTGAGCACTGAGAGATCACAGCGTTCTTATGGATCTGCCACCCCAACTCTCATCAAAAAACAAATGCTTCCATTAACCCAACCCAAAAGCCCAACTCGCTTTGGAAGGACAACAGAAATCATGAGCTGGGGAGGGCACTGGTGGAAGGCTGGTGGACAGTGGTGACCCAAAGGCTTAAGGGATACTAAGTACTTTATAATGGGGAGGTCACTGAATGGTAAGGAAGTTGACAGATGCTAACGGTAGAGGTGTGACCAGAACTTTATTACTGAAAAAATAAATAAATTATGAGAATGTTTCCAAGGAGGGCGATGTCAGTGTGGTCACCTCTGCCTGCGGCTGTGTACTGTGGCTGATGGTGGTGAGGAACGAAGGCCTACATGAGCCTGAGTGAGCCACATCTTTGTATAATCTGCTCTTCCTGAGTATGGAAGGAACCATGCTTGCTTCTAGCCTAAGAGACTGCGCAAAGGTAACAAGATGTAGCTCTCATGGCTACTTTACATCAAAGAAGACTCCACTGTAGCAGACAAGAGTGAGAAACACCCACCCGCCAGCCTTTAAGAAGTAAGCTGCCATGTCATAAAAGGGTGACATCCGGGCACTGGGAGTGGCCCTCAGCAAAGGACCAGCAAGAAAATCGAAACCTCAGCGCTGCAGGTGGAAGAGCTGACTTATCCCCCCAAACCACTTAAACTTGGAAAGTGCCTGAGCTTCCAGAAGGAGCACAGTATGGCTAAGCCTAGGCTTTGCAGGAGCTTGAGCACAGAACCCAGCTGAGCTATATCAGACCCTTGATGCATGGACTTCTGTGAAATAACAAACACATGCTGCTCTGTCCCCTAAGCTTGTGGTGATTTGTAACACAGTAGCCAACCAATCCGCGTGGAAGGTATTAGCTCCAGCCTTGGGGACTCCACACATGAGCCCTAGAGAGTGGAGAAGATTGCCTGAGTTCACCTCCCTTCCCTACCTGGTTGGGGGCTTCACAGGCCATGGTGCCCAGGCCTCTCATTGCCAGGTGACGCTTTTTAGCACTGGGGTCCCGGGCTCTTTCTGCGAAGATGAAAAACACATTCTTCAAAGGCTCCCGCTTCTGGAGCCTCAGTTTCCAAGACACCTGAGTGATGGGTCAAAAATGTATTAATTTGGGATTGTTTGGAGTTATATTCTGCACCTAGACCTAACCCTATCTCTTCTCTCTAAAGAGAATCCTATCACTGCCTGGTCAATTTTGCCCTTCGTTCTCCAAAGAGCTGCACGCGCACATGAGCATGCATGCACGTGTGTATATGTGTGTGTGTGTGTGTGTGTGTGTGTGTGTGTGTGTGTTTCTGGGATCAGACCTAGGGTCTTATGTATGTTAATCACACTCTACTATTGAGCTATGGCCCCATACCCCAGAGGTATTGATTCTGCTGGAAAAATATATTAATTTGATCTGCATCAAGGAGGAAGAAAAATAATGCAGGACTCATGTCGAGGTGGGTTTGGGAAAATTATAGAGATGCTTTACAGCTGTGGTAGGTGTGGCCGAAGTTGAGAAGAAAGAAATTTACAGGGGTTGAGGTGAGAATATGGACACTTTTCGTGGTATAAAGATGATGTTATCCCTCCAATGTTAAAGATTCTCTTCTTCCTCCAGCTCCTCCATTTTTCTGCTCCACTTCATAGCTAAATGCCTTGAAAGACAGGTCTGTGCAGTGCTTCCTTTCTCCAATCTCTCTGTCTGCCCCCGCATCTGCTGATTTTGAACTCACTAGCCCAGGCTGGCTTCCATCGTTCCCAATCCTCCTGCCTCAGCCTCCTGAGTGCTGGGCTTAGGCATGCGCCACCCCACCCAGCTCCTCCTGTTCACCCTTGAACCATCTGCAATCAGGCTGATGTTCTCCCATCTCCATCCCTCTGTATGGCTAATTCCAGGGTCCATTCTCAGCCATCATCTTACTCAACCTGCCAATAGCATGTGGCACAACTCGCTAAGCCTCTCAGAGCCCTTAAAGTTCATCCCAAGTCCAGGATGCAGATCTCTGTGCAGTTAAGATTAGGAAGAGGAATGCATAAATAATTCAAGTCAGGAAATACTCTGTGTCTGATGAAGCAACTTGTGCTTCAAAGACAATTCTGAGTAATTACGGGGCAAGAGATGGGACAAGAGATAAGCCGCCCTCTGTAGTAAGCGGTAGGGGAGGGGGCGTGGGTGCCAGGAAGGCCCTGGTGTCCTTCAGAACACAAAACAAGGCAGCCTTATTAGGGTCAGAGGCAAGATGATGGAAGATTCAGACAAGATCAGAGACAAAAGCCACCTCCCGACCATCCTTAGTAAGTGTGGGGTCGGGGAGATGCAAATCTAGCTGTTTCTGTAGCACTAGCAGCAAGGCTGAGTAACTTCCAAGCCTCACTGTTATCGCTGAGTATTCACTGCCATTCATTCTACATTTTTATTATTGAGTTAGCAGCAAGTTAAATCCTTCTCAACTCATCTGCCTGTCTTCCTATAACCTAAATTAAAAGAAGACTTTTGGTTTCAGAGGAATCCTCAATGGGGCAGGTCCAACTAATGACAGACCGAGCGGGCACACATCTTTGGGGAAGGGGCATTTGTTCATAACATTTCATGTCAGACCTTAGAAAAGAGAGATATCATTGATGTCCTTTTCTTCGTGGGCTTGGAAGTATGGATGGAAAGGGGTTGGTCCAGGAGTCTCTGTGTTTGGTTCATGGCACTGAAAAAAAAGTCAAAATCATCACAGGAGCCACGAACACCCATGTGCAGCCTTCTCCTCGATGAACGCCACTGCCCAAAGCAGAGACTAAACAGAGGCAAGACCCCAGGCCTCTCCTAGGAGCCTGTCATCCTGGTGAGGAGCCAGGACAAATCACATAAGGAGGAGGGGCAGCTTGGGGCTGCTGGGGTGTCCATCTCTGGCTCCCCGTTCCATCCTGCAGACTTCTTTATCGCAACCACCCAAGAAATAAAGCCCACATTTCTGGCCTCACCCACAGACTCCTCAAGATTAGAGTAAACTCAAATTGTTGCTTTTTTTTAAAGCTCCCTGAGAAGGTCACTGGATATTTGGGTTCTGCATCTTGCTGTCTGAAAATGCACCTATTCTTTCATTCAGAAATCCTTCGGTCCTGCAGACATCATTGGCGCACCATCTGCTCCAGGGTACACGAGGTGTGAAGCAGTTCTGGAAGTCCTGCTTTGTGAGTAGCTTTATGAGGTGTGATTTTTAAAATGTGAAGGCTGCTGCTGAGCACCATGCAAGAGAAAGAGGCCCGTCTTCATCTGGCTTAGGCACCATATGTGCCACTGTACAACCTCTTGTTCTTCTCCAAAGTCAAGATGACCGTGGTTGGTAAACATTTGGAATCAATGCAGGACATCGACAGCACCAGTAAAGACACACACAACTTCCAGAACCATTTCAGAAAGTGGCAAGAATGTTGAGATAAGCGTGTTTGTAGGGAGGCAGGGACTTTCGTGGGGGGCGGGGGACAATGGCAATGTGTCTTTTACTGTAGTGAATAATGTTTCGTTAAACATTTGCTCTATTTTTTGGTCACTCTTCACACATAAAAGGTGGGCATCATCACACTGTAATGAACACCGTGTCTTTCACTGTTGTAGCATAGATATGTTACGTATATGTTCCGAACTCATTACAAAGAATATTGGGCAGCTCTACGTGTGCTGAAATGATCTTCAAAGCAGACTGCCAAAGGAAAAATGCGAATCCATGTGTACCGTATATTACTATTTGTTTAAAATCAAAACAGGGGGGGCAGTACACAGGTACAGCTAATGCTTGCATTTGCATGGAACAGGGAAGGACACCCAGGAAATGTGACCCACAGTGCCTCTGGGGTGGAAAATCTGAGGACCTCAGGTGGAAAGGAGACTTACTGTTTTACTCTTCTTGTATGTATACAGTCTTTAATTTTACCAAGTGCATCCATTTAACAAATGTATATATTGTGAATATATGTCATCATTAGAGATTCAGATCAGCAGCCTGATCTAGGGCCCAGTAGTATAAAGCAGAGCTGCTCAAACTGTAAAGTGTGGAATCATCTGAGATCTTGTTCGAATACAAGATTTGACTCAGTGGGTCTGGACTGGGGGCTCCAGATTCTGCTCTTCTTCCTCAATTCCGGGGACACCAATGCTGCTGGTCCAGGGACCACAATTTGAGTGGCGAGGGTGTAAAGAGCCACAGGACTTGGGAGAGGACTGTAGGCTGGAGGTGCTGGCAGAGCCCTCCCACAGCACACTGCCTGGGGGCAGAGGCAGGTGTCTTTGGCACACTAGGATTGCAATGGGATTCCACAGGGTTAGGGGTAGCAGAGGTAACAATGATTGACACAGCAGGAGAGGGGGAGGAGGTACAGCTACAGAAAGTAAAAGCCAATTGTGGAGGACTTGACCACTAAAGAGTCTGGTTTCAGTTGTGTTTTGTTGATAGACGTGATTTGTTGGCTTTTTACAATTGAGATGAAATCCACATTCAATCTACAATTAACCAATGTTGTGCTCCATCTATCTAGTCCCAGAACACTTTTTGTCATCCCCAGAGAAAATCCTAAACCAACTGATCCATCATTTTCCTGCTGTCCTTCCCCAGCCTCTAGCAATCATCAATCGTGAATCTAATCTGGATATTTTATATATGTGGAAATGTGACCACTTGTGCCTGGCTTCTTTTACCATATTTTTTCCAAGGTTCGTGGGCGTTGCAATATGTGTCAGTGCTTCGCTCATTGCCACAGTTTGTTTACCCTTCCACCTGCTCACAGCGCTCAGGTTGTTTCCACCTTTTTGGCTGCTGTGAACAATGATGCTCTGAATGTTTGTGCACAAGTGTGTGTCTGTGTGTGTGCCTTCCGTTTGGGGGGTACACAGCTAGGAATGGAATTGCCAGATCATAGGGTGATTTTTTTCTTTCTTTGTAGTACAGGGATGAACCTATGCCCTTTACACTAGCTACATCCACGACCTTTTCAATTTTTTTTTTTTTTTAAATTTTGAGGCAGGACAACAAATTTACTAAATTGCCCAGGCTGGGCTGGAACTTACACCCCTCCTGCCTCAGCTGCCTAGAGTGCCAGGGCTACAGGTGTAGACTACTGTGCTCAACTGAGAGATTCTATGCTTGTTTCAGGAGCGCCAAATCATCTTCCACAGCTGCCACAGCGTTTTATGTTCCCATCAGCAGCGTACAAGGGTTCCGATTTCTCCACTTGCCCTCCAACAGTTGTTAGTTTTCATTGTTACTATTATATCTTAGTTGGTGCGAAGTGATATTGTGTTGTGGTTTTGATTTGTGCTTTCTTAATAAGCATGGCTCGCATGCTATTGGTGATTTGTGTATCTTTTTTTGAAGAATTTTCTGTTCATATCCTTTGCCCTTCCTCCTCCTTTTTTGAGACAGAGACTTGCTAAGGTGCTCAGGTTGGCCTCAAACATGAAATCCTTCTGCCTAAGCCTCCTGAGTAGTTGGGATTACACACATGTATCACCACACCAAGCCTCTGACCATTCTTTAATTGGGTTGTTTGTCCTTTGGTCTGGAATTGTAAGAGTTCTTTGTATATTCTGGATACTGAACCCTTAACAGATATATGATCTGCAAATGCTTTTTCCCATTTCCACTGTCTTTTCTCTTTCTTAACAGTGTTCTTTAATGCACAAAATGTTTACTTTTGATGAAATCTAATTTGTCATTGTTGTTACTCTTTGTGCTTTTATCTAAGAACCTACCACTAAATCCAAGGTCACGTACATTTACCCAAGTGTTTGAAGTGTTTTACAGCTATAGCTCTTATATTTAGGTTACTGGTACACATTGAGTTAATTTTTGTACATGGTATTGGTGGGTCACCAACTAGCCATTGACTTTGGGTATTTTGTGTTTTTATTTTTATTTTTTAATAGAAGAAATGACAGGCAAGTGGCTGTATTGGTTCTCAACTCTGGTTCTGTCAGAAGTACCTGAGGAACTTTTGCATATCCAGTACCCTGACTGCCATAGATCAAGGCTGGGCCCACACAATTCAGTGAGTAGCTGAAGCTGGCCACATAATCCAGTGACTAGTCACTGAACTAGAATGACTGGGACCAGCTGCCTTGGTTTGCCCAGAGCTGAAGGGTTTCCCAGAACACAGGATTTCCAGTGTTAAAGTCAAGATTCTTGGGCAAACTTGGGACACATCCCTACGGATAGAGTCCCAGCCCTCTTACACAGATGCACCTGACCAGGTCTGACCTGCAGGCAGGCACAGCACAGATTTATTTTCCCTGTCATCTTTGCCCCAGGTTGTTTCAGTCATGCTGTCCTGTTCACAAGACAAGGCAGAGGTCCGCAAGAACAGCTCTTCACCTCCTCACCTCCAGTTCCAATTTCTCCTTCATCTTTGGCCAGTAAACCTCTGTTGGGACCAAAATACAAACCCAGAAAATTGCAACACCACCTCCAATCCAGTTAATGAGAGTTTCTCTTTACATCAGTCACCTGGCTGAACTACAGTTCTCTTTGTTGAATTGAAGGCAGGCCCTGGGCTTTATCATAAATCCAGTGGTTCTCATTAATTGATCACACATTAGAATCACCTGGCAGATGTGTTAAAATACACATTGCCAGGTCTGATCTCAAGAGTTTCATATTCAGATTCTGCAACCTCATAATCTATACTCCCAGGAGATACTGGGGTGCAGCTGACCTAGGGACCATACTTTGAGAACTGTTGCAGTAAGAGAAGGAAACCGCAGTATCACAAGTCATTCCCCTCCAGAGGAAAGAGATTATAAACCTTACTGAGGCAAAAAAATGTTTTGTTGTTTCTTTCTGGGGGTTTTCTTCACACAAGCTTCTGTTTCAATGGAACCTGCCACTCCTCAGGTGGAAGGCTCTGCATCAGAGCTGACAGATGCCAGCCAATGGGTACAGGGAGCTCCAAAGAAGCACAAGTCCCACAGGCTGGGAGTCTGCTCGCCACGGAGGGCCTCATTGCAAAACAGCAGGCATCTGTGTTCCAAGGCATAGAAATTATGCCTGGAGCTGCTCTCCACTGCGAGGGAAAACAACCTGTTCCCTTGTTTTTCATGCTCAAGTTCTACTGCAAGATTAGCAAGACAGCCAAAGCAGCTTCCCCAGACTTCTGAAGCCAAGCAGCCATCCTCATCTTAATAGACAGGTCTAGAATTCAAGATCAGAGAAAGCTCTCCAGCAGGGCAAAGTGAAGGAGAGCTGAGGATTCAGCATAGGGTTACAGAGACACACAGGCCCCACCCTCAGCTGACTGCTCGTTCCACAAGCCCTTCCCACCTCCTCACTTCCATCACGAGACAAACTGTGATTTGCTCAGTCTGGTATGCTGTCTCTGAGAGTCTATCTTGATTTCTGGTGCAAAAGCAAAGCATTTCTCACTGCGCAGGGGTGCTGGCCATGCGCCTGTGTCAGCCTCCCCGGTATATGTTACAAACTCCAGAAGTACTAGGTCAGAGTCTCAGGGAGCATCAGGTCTGAGCACTGCACTTTCCATTCAAGTGTCTACTGGTGCTACACACAGCTTGGTATATAAAATCCCCTGTGCTAGAAATCAGTCCCAGGACAGTCTACTCCAGGAAGCTGAGCTCAGGCATCAGTAGAGACCCCAGCAGTCACAGGAGGAGGTGGGCTGTTGGGGAGAGGGAAGCACGTCAGAATCTTTGCAGAGGACAAAGGGCTAATGGCATATGTTTGTGGAACACGATGGATTTCACTATTGCTAGGGTTTGAGTTGGTTTGTCCCTTCCAGAACTCATGCTGAAATTTAATCATTATGAGATATTAAGATGTAGGACCACATTCGGCCTTTAAAAGGCGGTTAGGGTTCCATTCTTATGAATGGATTAATCCACTGTGATTATGAGATTAATGGGTTAAAGGGTTATCTCAATGGGTCTGCTAAAAAACAAACAAACATACAAATAAAACAGGTCGGCTGGATTCAACCCCACCCCCATCCCTGT